TTCATAGCAAAAGAGAGTATTCCCCCGACTATCCTGATCAACCAATGGTTAAAAACTCAAAGACTAGATACGGTGAAGCCAACCCCTCACCTGCAACCTGGCTGATCCAGCRTTCGCTATCCTACCCCCTCACGCCACYATCCCACTCCCCACACCCCCACACCGCCCTCCTGTTTGCTGAGCACTCCATTCGGCTGACCCTCTCGCCCGTCTCCCCAATCAACGCCAGAATCACACGAAAAGGAAAACAGGAAGGGAGGGAGGGGGGAGAAAGAAAAATGACCATACGCAGATACTTCACCATATCTGCCGATATTGTTATTGTTGTAGATATCGTTGCTCCCTGCCGCGCACGAACACCGCTTCCTTCTATCCATGGCACTGCCATGCGCAGCCTCCTTATTGTTGCTGTAGTTGTCACTGTCGATGCTCGTGGCCTGTGTAGATACCAGCGGCACAGTCACAGGCATGGTGTAGTTGTTGATGTTGCTGTTCATGGCTTGTGAAGAAATGAGCGAGCTGGTCACAGGCAATATTGGCTTGTTACTGTTCTTGTTCTTGTCGTTGCTGTTGTTGTAGTTGTTGTTGTTATTGTTGTTGTTGTTGTTGTTGTTGTTGTTGTTGTAGACATCGGCGAGGCGGGCGAGATCGTTATCGTTGTTGCTGTTGGTCATGATGGTGTCGTCGGCGATAGTGTTATTATCCTGATCGTCTCCAGCGTTGGTGTAATTGGCCAGATCGTCTTCCACGAGATTATCAGCATCATCGTACCATCGATCTTCTAATGCAGCGCAGAGAACTTGCCCCTCCTCAAGCTCCTCGTAGAAGCACCGCATCAAATCGCGCGATCGTGGCCCATCAATACACGCTTTCAAACAGGGCGGTGGCCCCCCCTCCACCCCCCMTGTAATCTCCATCATGCTTCGCTGCTTCCTCCGGGTCCACGTGAGCAACGGCGTCATCTTTTCGGCCGCCGCAGATCGCAAGGTCGCCACCACCTTGCTTAGACACGCAGTACTAACTTGGATGGTACCAAGCCACGCGGCAGCTTCAGACCGCAGTTCGCTCAAATCCTCCATCACTACGAACACTCAGCTGTCACACCTCACTCACCCCCATCCACATATGCACGGGCTCCACTCCACGAACCCCTTCTGCCAACCCTAGTAACACCCCTTTCCCACCCGACTTACTCCCTTTGACGGGTTCTACGTTGTTTGCCACGTGGCAAACAGACGGCCTGGTGTAAATGCCACGTCAGCAGAAGGAATACCCTCCCCCGACGTGTTGCACGGGGAGCAGGCCGGGCCCTGCCCGCCGGTCCCTTGCAAGGTACCAGAGCGCACAGCGGCGCACGGAGTAGTGACGAAACTCATTTTTTGAAACCAAACTATCTTAGTGTTATTCACTAGACCAAACTCCACCGAGTCCAAGCCGTGCCGCCCCATCCGTCCACCCTTTTTTTTTTTTTTTTTTTTTTTTTTAAAGAGTGTAACCAAGGTTCTAAACCGGCCCAGCCGTCCTAACCTTGGTGGTGGATGGCTTCTGCTTTATTCTGGTTTATCTCCGGAGTCCGGTGCTGTCTTCGGCAGCAGCGGCTGTAGGAATGCTGGTCGGTAATCCATGATATAACAACTGAATAATGGCAAACGCGATGGTCGACAAAGGAATGGGGGAAACTGCTTCCCATGTGAGGGGGGGAAGCGAATCGGGTACCAATCCTTTCGAGAATGGAAGGTGGGTGCTGGTTCCAAAACCTTTTCTTTTTTTTTTGTTCCCTAATCCCCAGCCTTGGTCTGCTAGGGAGAGTGATACGAGCATCTCCTCCGAGCCAACCCGCCGCTGGATGGTCTCATCTATCGGTGGGGAGCTGCTTCCGACGCTAAGAGTTGGGATTACATCTTCTTGCTCACGGAGGTCGCCGATCATCAGGGAGGGCACTTGGTGGGGGGGGTGCTTTCAGCCTTTCATGCAGTTTTTTTTTTTTTTTTTTTTTTTTTTTTTTTTTT